AGAGAGTGTAGTGTCGTTATCTTCGTCTCTCTCTCTCTCTCTCTCTCTCTCTCTCTCTACAACAATCTTCGTCTCTTTTTAGATAATCAATCACACACTGTTATTGTCCGTGTGCTGTTCTTTTCTTTGTCTCTTGTCATTGGCTTTTCATGGATGTTGATGATACTCCAAGCGCGACATATTGCAAGCACTATTCTTTTCATGGATTTAGTAGCTACTAGTAGCTGGCTAGTATCATCTTTAGTTTTTGTCATGGAATAAGACTATAAGAGGCAGTTGTTGGTAATTGGTAGGGATATTACTATTAATATTAGTTCTAAGTAATCGTATTTTTTTGAGGTTGTCTATCTACTACGGATTCGAGTGTTTTAGAAGCATATGTACACACAAGTGCTACAAGACAATTCTCGTAGTTGATTTATTCAGGTACTTTCTCCGTCCCCAAAATAAATAAGTGTCGTTCTTGGTTTTTCGAGGAGTCAAACACTTTTATCTTTAACCAAATATATACAAGAAAATATTAATATTTATAATACATAATTAGTATCATCATTAGATAGATCATTGAATCTATTTTCATAATAAATTTATTCAGACATATAAAATATTGCTAATATTTTTTCCACAAGTCTAATCAAACTTTAAAAGTTTGATCGACACGGATATTAGAAACGCTTATTTGGGACGGAGGGATATACTACCTAGATTTCCTGCAGAAAAGCAGCTTGCATTATTGGGAGTCTGGCACGCGAACAAGTCCTAAAAGTGAAATTGTTGGTTTCAAGCTATCTGCAGTACCTATTTCAAATTTATGGTTGGTGGAAAGAGGGGACAATCTTTATTTTTAATTTGTTAAGGTTTCGTACATCCACTGCACTGTTGCATCCACTGCACTGTTTGCTATTGAAACGAGTGAAGGTATTTGACGTGAGAGCGTTAGGTTTTGCTCCCAAAAGAAATGATCGATCCAACCCCGCAGCAAACACGCACTAACTTCAACCTCTGATGCATGCATGGTCGGACACACGGGCCGGGACAGCATGTCCCCTTGCCAAAGAACGACAACAAAAGTATGCATGATTACCTGCTGACTGCGCGTACACACTAGCTACACATGTACTCCTGCGTACTCCTAGCAAATACTCCGTCCATTCCAATTTATAAGACGTTTTTTGCTATTTGTAGATATATTATTTTTATTATGCATCTGACTGATGTATATCTAAATAGATAGCAAAAACTATGTATCTAAAAAGCTAAAACATCTTATAATTTTTGAACGAGGGAGTACGTGACGTATATATAGATTCAACACACCGTTGCTAAAAAACTAGTATATATTTACTCTCTCGCCTATGAATAAATCAGTTTCTATAGTTGTCTTAAATAAGTTTTTTTTTTGTGTTTGACTGAATTTTATGGCAAAAGGCATTTCAAATGCTTATGACATCAAACATGCTTATTATAAAAAAATATATAATTTATAGCTTTTATCCTAATGATATTGATTTCACTTATAAATTTGACATTTTCTATAAATTTAGTAAAATTAGAAAAGTTTGACTGAAGCAACTCTAAGAATTCAATATAAATTCTACATACGTACATATATGCACGTACAATCTCTAGACATGAAGAAGTCTACCAAGTGTCTGAATAATTCAGTCCAACAGCATGGACACACACCAATAGTATCCTTTTCTACAATTGAACGTATGTGTTTATGACTGAAGACTGTTTCTATCCATACACAGGACAGCAGTGTAGATTTCAAGTTAGCAGATATCTATTCGTTTTAAATTATAAGACAGCTTGAATTTTTCTAGGATCTGTTAAATCTTTGCTATACAACTAGATATATATTATATCTAGACATAAGAAAAGTTATGAATTATGAATCACAAAATGCCTTTATAATTGTGACACACACACATATATATATATATATATATATATATATATATATATATATATACACACATACACACGTCATAAAGTAATCCTAGGAAATGGACGATGTGCTCAGAAGT